AGAGAGAGAATTTCGAGAAACTTTTGTGAATTATAGTCGTAATGGATGGGAAAGATTGTTATTCGACAATATCAGCGCCCCAATACATTACTCGAATTATCATAATAAGTTTACTGAATTTAAAGGAGAACGAAATGTAATTCTTTTCATTAGCGTGTACATACACATCGGCCGCTTTATCTCGCCTTTTTTTCGCGTGCGCTCGCCGCGCGAGATGTTGTAATTACATTTAGTACCTTATCTCTCGCGATCTTGGTCGGGCGAGGAGAGTTTGCTCGTTGAAAAAAAAAACTCGAAGGAAAACTCGGGAAAATTTTTTCAATTGTATCCCTCGTTATAACAACTTGACGCGCCAGCGTGCGCCACGCGACACCCGTTAGACTATCGCCGAGAGGAGAATGACATAAGACATTCCCGTTCTGACTCGGGCGCCATATGACCGTCTCTGTCGCAAGCTCTGTCCTCTCTCCCACCCCTCTTTTCCGTCTGTTCCCCCTCTCCCCACCCCCCTCCCACTCTCGGCGGCCTCCTGTTCCCGCGCCGCCATCCACTACATTCTACTACCGTCATTCCTTGCCCTCTCGTCTCACCGGTCCGCCACCTACTACCACCCCCGCACTTTCCCACCACGACCGTCACTACTACTAGCATACTCCGACCAACACATCGGCATCGTCGCCGGCCCGAGAGCCATTGTCGGAAGCGAGAGGGAAAATATCAGGAAGGAGAAAGGGAGAGCCACAGAACGAAGGAGAGACAGAGAGGGGATGGTTACGTGGGAAGGAGAAGAAGAGGGGACAAAGAAGTCACGTGAAGAGATGAAGATGGAGGAGGAACAAGGAGGCCGCGTATGAGGGAGGATGCGAATGGAAAGAGACAAAGAGAGAGAAGAAAGGGGGAAAGAGAGAGAGAGAGAGAGAGAGAGAGAGAGAGAGAGAGAAGCAACCAGGCACAGGCATAGCATAGCATAGCATGGCACGGCATATCCATAGACATATACACTGTGTCTATGGGCATATCGACGAGATCCGACCACGGCCGAACGCCACCGAACACGGCCGACTCAGACCCTGCGCGCTCAACCCAAACCCGAGAAAGCATAGTTGCATTTAAACTGCCATCCCACTCGGGAGATCTCTCTCTTCCCGAGTCCTGAGGACGACCTCAGGACGACTTACGTACGTACGTAAGTCGCGTTGCGCGTATCGATACGTCATTGTGTTTCCGTCACGTCTCTACGCTTCGTTTGTCATTAAAAAAAAGAAAAAAAAAAAGAAGAGAGGGAAAGAAAATCCAGAAACGATCCGGGGGTTGTGATGACCCGCAGGTCGGGACACACGGTCTGACGTCAGGAGCGCTTTAACTTGTTGGATTCGACGCGAGTGCGACGCGAAAAGTGAGCCGGTCCGCCGCGTCTTCGACCCGTTTCGACCCGGGGAAAGGGAAACGCGGAGGTGTCGGACGTCGACATCGTGGAGGATCTGACAACAGACAGATGGAGGATGCCCCTCTGATCGTTGTCGTCGTCGTTGCTTTCGGACGGACACCAAGGGCACCGGGATCTTTTGTCCGGGGCCTTCCGGTAGCGCGACGCGTCACTTCCGTCACGCGTTCCTTCCTCCGTCGCGAGTTCTGTCGTCGTGTCGTTCGCGGTCATTTCGTCATTTGTCAGCTCGCGACACTGTGCCCGCTTCTTTTGAGAATAGAATTCTTTCGCGCTCGGTCATATGACAGGCTATCCCGCAAGTTCCGCTTCGTGTGACGCTTCGCTCATTCGCAGCCAGCTGCGATTACTCTGCGCGGAGTTAACAAAGATCTTGAATGTTCGAAAAAAAACGAGGCTAGGTGACAATTATCTTTTTTTGTACACGATGTAAATTTCTTTAGTCTTGTTTTTCAATTTGACCCTTAATTTATAACCGTCTGGAAAAATCAGACTCAACTCTCTTAATTTTCAAGTATACTTTCGTAACTAAACGCTTCAGATAGGCTGCGTTCTATCGCGGTATCTATGTTAAGTGCGTAATTCTGTGAAGATATATATATATATATATCAATATATTTTATACTATCCTAAAAAACTTTGACAGATGTAATGCATATCTAGGGATGTGTCTCGTTTTTAACGAAATTAGACTCCTATATCTCTTGAAAACTGTCACTGACGATAATAAATAACGACAGCAGCAAATTTCAAAAAGTTAGATAAATTATTGATTTTGCAAGCGACATTTTAAAGTCATTCAATTCGTCGCTGACATTGTCTGGAGAACGAACGGGTACGTTGGAAAACTTTTGCCCCTGAGAAAATCTTGACTTATTAATTATTTTAAAAATTGCGTGTATACGTCAGAGAATGATCTTATGCTATATATATTTTATCTTCGCAAATTCAGAGATTTGAGATTGTCATGTTATCACCAATCGAAATATTATTCTCGTCATACTTGAGAGTGGATACGTGATTGAGCTTAAACTAGCGAGGCAAAGTTCAGTCTGAACTCGGTGTTCTCGAACCCGGAGCTGGATTATATTAAAGGTTGCGGAGGGCATCGTGCGCTCGCGGGAAGAGTTATAAGACCGTTGAGAAGTTTCAGCGAGTCCATTCGCGGTCGACGATGGGTGTCCGTACTTTTGACGTATAACATAACGCGGAGTGATGTGAGATCTTTTGTGACAGCAAGCGAGGAGAGAAATTGCGCGCAACACGGCGAAACATACGTAAATTGATATATCATTTATCATTAAATTTATATTAAAATGCAATATATCAAGTATATATATTCATTAATATTTAACGATGGATCAAAACATTTTATACATACATTTTCTGTTAATTACAAAGAGCACTGCTTATTTCTCTCTTTTTTTTTTCTCGTATAAATATTTAATAAAATTTCAGATGAAGAAAAATTTTAAAAATTTAAATATCGTCAAATGATTATATATAATTAATAATATATATGATTAATGATTGATAGTACAATACGTTTAATTAAATTTTGAATGCGTCTATTATTATTATCTCCGTACTAGAATATTTTATACTGAAAGACGCGCTATAGCTTTATTCCGATGCATGTAGTGAAAATATGGAAATATTTGGGTCCGTCGAAGTGATTAACGTAATGCGGCTCGGTTGACATCGCTCAAAATACTAAATATATATTCGATACTGATATTAGATGCCGTTGACGGGGACATCCGTCACGTCGTTGATCAATAAGATTTGCCGCGGACGATAGATCGCGTTCGAAAAAGCGGAAAAATCCCGTCGACGTATTAGAGTGACACGTCCTCAAATTTGATTTCTGACGAAGCCAACAATAATTGTCAATCGTCCTTGATCGAACCGGCGAGTTGTATAGACGAGAAGACCTACCTACACGTCGTACAGAAACATATCCCGCAAACGCGCTCGATCTTTCCCGAATGTTCTTTGGCTGCAATTAATCATTCTGCCGATTAACGTAATCAATCTAGATGTCAACGCGTCATTTCGCGTCCCGTCAATGCTTTCGCTTTTTTTTTTTTTTCTTCTTTTGTATTCGTACATGTAAAACGTCATCGCGAGAAAGAGAGGTTGCCTGGGAAATTGGTTTCGCGAGAGAGAATGGGTCGACCGGTGACTTTGGAGTCGAAGTTTGAAAATGCTTTGTTCCCGCTAAAAAAGGTGTTTGAAAAAGAGGAGGGCTCCGCGCGGATCGATATATCAGCTTGACTCTCATCCCCTCCTGTCCTCGCCCCTCTATTCCCGGGATGACGTTTCTCCCAGATATCAGTGTGAACAAATATATCCGGTATATGACGAGTATATTCATTGATAACGCGACTCTCTCGCTCTTCGTGCTGAAGCTTTTATGACGTAGATTAATATCTATCTCTCGAATCGTGAAATTCTTGTAAAGATTAAAACGTGCATAATAATGACTTAATTAATTAAACATTGACGGACTGCAATTAAATTGTCACGTTTCGACCTTGTTGAATTCCTTGTACAATTGAATTATTTAACATGTTAATATATGCTTTTGTGTATCGCTCGAGTCTCGCTTCGCATGCCAAATCACGGATTCGTAATTAACGTAATGAAACATGAAACTGGGGAAGAAGTACTTGAAGAGAACTAATGAATAGTGATTAGGAGCCTAACGCTCGCGACTCGCTTAAACAATCGAGCTCTGTGTTGCGGAAATTAAGCAAGATTTCCCAACGGCGGGTGGAAAATGCCGTTCCTGCGAATGAATCATCGTGACGCAATGTTTCGTAACCCGCGGCACATATAATTATCCGCGACCTTTCTCATTTATCTCTCTCGCATTATCGAATCACCGCGTCGTAATCCCTTTGACGTTCGCGCTTTCAAAAATTCTCTCCCTCTCTTCGCAGGCACTCTCGGTGGCGATGTAAAGCGATGTAAACGTCGCCGTTGCCGACGCGTTTACTTGTTGCATCGGCAAAACTTGGAAATCTCTCGGCGCGCGCGGCCTCGTAAATTCACAATAACCCGCGGAATTAGCGCGTATCCCGCGTCGATGTCGCGATGCGTGCCCGTAATTGTACGCGAAACCCGCCGGGGATTAGACACATTCGACGCGTATGTTCTTGCATCTTCGCGGCATTTCATATTGAATAGTAGTGGAAGTTGGATATCGGAGCAAAGTTGAAGTAAAATTACAGTGCACGTGACGAGTGATCGTAAATTCGAGAGTTATAAAATCAATGATATTTATTTAGAGACCGACGTGTCTGAGAAGCTTCATTGCTTTCATCTCGAATATTCGCGCACGCTACTCTTAACTCTCTCATCAGTTTTCTTGAATATTTTTTTATCCAAAGGTTTTCTTTTGACGGTACAACTTTTCCAATAACGGCCGCAATATCAACGCCTCGATAACGAGTAACATCGTATCCCGAGAGTTGCAGGAAGTAGAGTAGGAAAAAAAATGGGGGGAAAAAAAGAAGGAAAAAAAATTTTTTTTTTTTTTTTTTTTTTTTTACGTGTACAAATGTATGACGTTCGCGAAACTACAGAATAGCAGAATAGGTTTGTCCTTGTTCTGGATTTATCATTGTCGTGTAACAAACGACTATGCTTCTCTTTGAGGTCTTTATTATCAAGTAAGGAAAGCACTTGAAGAGACACAGTTATTGAAACTCGCGACGAGAGCCAATAGAGAAACAAATTTACTGAATTACTTTTAGACGCAAATGTCCTTTGAAGTCGGAAAGTGCCTTATTTTACAAGTTACAGAAGAAAGTTTACGGAAATTTACAGACAATAGCTGTGATAACTATAACAATGGCGATATTTATTCAACATTACCGTACATAGGTATAACTACCTCGTATTAAAACCACAATCATACTTTTGTTCTGTCTAGTGTTCTTTGACATTTAAAATACACAAGTTTATCGGAGGGGGAATTTATATATAATCGCAACTTTTTCTTTAAAAATTTCAAACTCATCCATGTCCTCCCCAACAATTCCGTGCTCATTTCGATTCGCGACCGCAATTATTACGCAGCCTCGTTCCTTCCATTCCGCGTCATCCGGTATTAACGGAAGTGTAACGTCAATCCCTGCCATTACAAATGTAATTATTTACAAAAGCGTGCACAGTGGCGGCTTTTCCTCGAATATCTCGAATACGTCGAAAACATCGCGCACATTCGATATTCGTTTACGCAGTTTTTCGCACGTCGATGTATAGTTCTGTCACCGGCAAAACGATGAATCTATCCCGAGTGACGGAGGAAATTCAAGCGAGAACCGAAATTTCATCCGCGTCGGAAGCGTCGCAGTGTTTTCAGCCGAGGAGGAAGCGTCTATCGATCAGCCTCGACCCGAAAAGGTAAGTAGGCGAGCACCATGGTTACCGTTATCTCCCTAGATCGTCTCTAACTTTTAATAAATTCAGCTGATTATACGTTCCGATGGCAGGTAACCTTGCATATTGCGTATAGTGTTTAACGAAATTCAAATAAATGGATTATATAAACACGTGTCCTCGGCCAATATAAATTCTTTCTGTTTATTATAAATCAAACATGTGTTCCAATAATAATATTTAAACAGGGAAGTTGTCAGTTTTATTTAATCGAAATACGCCTGTACGAAATATCGCCATATCTACACCGCTTCCTGTATATATTTCGACGTATTCGGAAATTTGAATTCGGGCGAATGCAAAAGGCGTATGTTGCTATGCAACGGTGATTCGGATGCTGGGAACGCGAAAGGGCATTTTGGGAAAGATTTGCATGAAGATGGAAGGCAATGCGGTTTGCGAATTAAATTGAATTTGCTTCCGGAAAAAAAGAAAGAGAAAAGAAGATTTAAGGCGCGTTGAAAGTGGTGCGCTTGGCAAACTGGCAACTTCGAATTAATGCAAATTAACATTTCGCGCGCGCGCGACGTTACATCTGAAAAGAAGAGATATATCTGCACAACACCAGAAACTATACACAATATACACCGCGTGTACAAGTGCGCAAATGTCAGATAGGGGAGCCTAATTAACGTACCGGTGTACTGTGGCACATTCCTCATGAAGAATATGCGTGTTACGCCATTAATTATTAATTAGCGCCGCAATATGTAAATTATAATGCACCGATAAACGCACACAACATACATTAAAAATACTTGCACATAAAGATATATACATTATAATCTTTAAACGTACGAAAAATTTGTTATCCTTTCTCCGGTTAAATCTTAATTATAGCCGACCGTGCACGGCGCATGAACTCTTCCGTCGTTGTATCACGAAAAGAGTATCACGGCTGCATGAATTATTGAGTGAAAAAACGTTATTTGCGGGAAATTACATTCTAAGCACGATGCATGCTGAAGATTAAAATCCAGTGTAAAAGCTGCGTACTACCTTTATCAGCGTTGTTTATGCCGGCGTAACTTTCCGGGGTGTACAACGTGCATAAATATCTCCGTTAAACTCAGGCTGCAAGATTAAAAACTTTTTCCCCGCCGCGCGCACCACAGGGCCGGGGCCCTTTCCGCATAAAATTCTAGCGAATTTACAATTAAATTTCACAACCGCGATAATAAAGTAAATAAACGCGCCACCTTTCTATGCAAATTGAACGCGAACGTTTCTTCGGCCCGAGCGTAACGCGATTATCGCCCTCACACGAAACCGTACCGATTGTTGAAGGGAAAAGATAGAAAAAAATAAATAAATAAATAAATAAATCTCTCGAGGTTCCATCTTTCGAGTAAGAATACCTGCGGGGAGAATCGATCTCTCGCCATTGGGATTATTTTACAGAATACGCGCGCGCAACCGTTCGTAAAATAATAATTCCCCGAGATATCTCTCAAAATGGGGTGGGAGAGAAGATGGTCGTGGCGCGCGCGGGGGGAGGGGGGTAGGAGGGGGAGGCCCAAGATCGATCTCTCGATGCTATGCTGAGGGTTATTTCGCGTGGCGCGGCCGCGCTATCAGCTGCGTGCGCGAAATGTGGCAGGAATTCGAATCCGCTCCCCCTTCCTCTCTGAACTTCCTCCAACGCGGTCGGTCCACGAGTTATACGACCAGCCGGCCGTTGCTGCAGGGCTGCAGAAACGAGAAACGACAGCACCCCACGGGAAATTGTATCGACGCCGCGCCACCGCTCGCGAGCAAATCGATTTCTTTTTACAGTTTCGAGGAAGGAACAGCGATTATTGCGCAGCTCTCTCCCTCTCTCTCTCTCTCTCTCTTTCTCTCTCTTTCTCTCACGCGACTCGCGAGTTGGGACGAACGTGTTTCGCGACAGCGTGTTTCGAATGAGAAAGCGAAATTACTCATATATATATTTGCTAATTATGATTATATCTCTAATTATTAAATGGTATAAAAAAAAAAACGTAATATAAATTGAAGACATTTGCTCGTCATATTTCTATAAACATGCAGAATCATAAAAATGTTTCTTAATATATATTTATATATCTGTATATTTATTTTAGAGTTGTGCTTGATAACAACATCGAGTTTTATTACCTACATTTTGATAAAGGTGATAATCTCAACTATGTGTGTATATTTGTATTTTATTACAAACGCCTGTTCTGCAGCTTGTGCTGTGACTTGATGACGCAAGTCTGAGTCACTGTATGTATAGAGTGTACGTAAACACACATTGCGAATATGATATAGTTGAGCGGTCGACCATAATCCCAACGTACAGACCGCTCGTATCACACGATAACTTGATCAACTAGATTTACATTCTTATTCCGATAGTAGTTTTTCTAAGAGTCTTCGATTTATTAATATCTCTTAAATTTTAGTGAAAAAATATCGTAATGCCGACAATTAATTAAAGATCATCGAAAGTGTGCGATCGTTAAATTCAATGATAATTAATGCATGGATCATAACCGTCGGTCGTAAACCGCAAAATTGTGGTTTTATGTGTACTAGATGTTTACTCTTCTCTGTTATGTAAAGATTTATATAAGTATTTTCGATGTTCTCTTATCAAATCGAACCTGCAAAAATCGCCTAAATTAAATACAGAACCTAAATGTACACCTCAGATGTTTAAATTATTATGACAAAATAATCAAAAGTTATCTGATATATATTTTATGATGTAGAATTTTTGATAGAAATCAATTTTAGAATAGGAAATTACACCATCTTTTTACGCGCGATAAATAACGATATCGCAAATATCGGTACGTGAATATTTAAGTGCGAACCGACGAAGTCATTATGAAACCAACAAACGTGTACAAACGGAAAGAACCTTTGACTAATGTAGCATCACTAATTTAACGGAAAAGTAATAATGTGTCGTATTTTTTATTATTAGAGCCACAATAGCCGCCTCGTTTTCATGTTATTCGTATAATTACTCGGGCTATCGTTTAAATACAGAACCTAAATGTACACCTCAGATGTTTAAATTATTATGACAAAATAATCAAAAGTTATCTGATATATATTTTATGATGTAGAATTTTTGATAGAAATCAATTTTAGAATAGGAAATTACACCATCTTTTTACGCGCGATAAATAACGATATCGCAAATATCGGTACGTGAATATTTAAGTGCGAACCGACGAAGTCATTATGAAACCAACAAACGTGTACAAACGGAAAGAACCTTTGACTAATGTAGCATCACTAATTTAACGGAAAAGTAATAATGTGTCGTATTTTATTATTAGAACCACAATAGCCGCCTCGTTTTCATGTTATTCGTATAATTACTCGGGCTATCGTTTCAGCGAATAATTCGCATCTGCTACCGCAATTAGTTATTGCATTGCAAATGAATGCAAAAATCGAACGATTAGCCGTGAAATTGTTCGTCGACGAATCGCATAAAAGCTTTAAATTTTCCGTAACTTTAATTACTTTTATTGCACTTTCGTGGTTTAACACTAATTTAGTGAATAATTAAATTTTCTCTCTCTCTCTCTCTCTCTCTCTTTTTGTCTGTTTAAATCAAGGACTGTTTCAAATTTGAGGAGAAAAGAGAAAATAATTTATCTGATATAATAATGTACTTTAATTTTATTTTAGGAGACGTTGAAAAATATAATTTACAACTTTCAAATATTTTGTTTTTTTAATTCTTTGCCTTAATGACATTTTGATTTGCAATTTGAATAAATCTCCCGATACATCATGATAATAAGTCATTTTAATTAAACCAAGGTACTTCCATGCTTGTAAAATTTAATGGTATCGTTATTAATATGAATATAATTAAAGAGCTTTTTTGTGAAAATTTATAAATTTTAAAATCAAAAAGTTAAACACAAACGTGATATTTAATTAATATTAGAAAATCATACATGTTTCTATATGCAGACTGCGATCCGTGTAAGCTCGGACTTATCCACTGTGCACGTAGACGCGCGTGCGCGACTCAATCGGGCTGGGGAAGGCATTATGCTAGGCAGTCAGGCTCTAGCACGCTTTGTCATTATTCGTGAGAACCCTATCAATTCGACTGGAAGATTGAATAAGAGGAAAAACACGGTGCGATGAGGCGCGCGCCCGTGCCTCTTTTCATCGTTATCGAGAGACCGACAAAAGATATTTGCGAAAAAGAGGAAAAAAAAACACATACATACACACGCACACATACACCCACACATTGTCCCATCTAAATTGAATCTCTCTTTCTTTTTTTCTCGCCTGCGCTATCGTTTGCGTTTTCTCGATCTATCCGAGAGTCGATGAAAAGAGACTCTTATTAACGGTTCTATCTCATGAATTGTCACATATGTATACACGACGATGACTGGCCCCGCCAGTATCCGATTCGATTTTCAATTCGCCGATCGTTCGCCTAATTTTCACCGGTTTTTATTAGAACGTTTTTACCTTCCCGACTTGCACGCGCGAGATTATCGCGAATGACGGAGTCACGCGAAATTAATCGAATCGAATCGAATTCCAGAACGTAATATGCACGAAGGATTCTCCGTAAGAGACGAAAAAAACCGTCTCATCAGAGAGAGAGAGAGAGAGAGAACATTTGATCTATCGGAATTTTTCTGTTCCATTCATGGATGTGATTTTATCATGTAACGCGTTACTATTTCTCCAATCGGTTGCATTCAAAATCGACCAAATACGGAATTTGCGGGAGATTTATTTATTATCTGATTTTTATTTTCGGCTTTGAAAATATCGAAATACAACCAATCAATGCAGATGATATGTAAAAAAAACAGACTTATAAATTACAGCTATGTACATTTTTATTTAAAAAATTGGTAAAATTTCACACACGATTTGCAATCGCGAAAGCGATCCAGTAATAAGAGACAGAATGTTAACAATTTATAACGCGCGTTGTCGAAGGGAAAAATATATATATT